TTTGTTGCAGATTTTTGTTTTCTCTCTGACTGGCCAGAGGAGGAAAGGTGTGTCCTGTCCTGACTGCACTGCCTGCACTTGCAAGGGATCATTTTTTGGGATAAGAAAAAATAACAGCGAACCGTCTTCTCAGTCCAAGACTATTATTTGTAAAGCATCTCCAGGGACACTATGGTGGTCTGGAATGGCAGTGACGCTAAGGACCCCGTATTTATACTGAGGGGCTTTCCTGGGCTGGAGCACATTCACTCTTGGCTCTCCATTCCATTCTGTTTCGCATACTTCATAGCATTTTTTGGTAATGTCACTATTCTTTCTGTCATTTGCGTAGAATCTTCACTCCACCAGCCCATGTATTACTTTCTTTCCATTCTGGCATTAACTGACCTGGGTATGTCTTTGTCCACACTTCCGACCATGCTTGCTGTACTGTGGTTGGAAGCTCGAGAGATCCAGGCAAATGCTTGCTATGCTCAACTCTTCTTCATCCACACCTTCACATTCCTGGAGTCCTCAGTTCTGCTGGCTATGGCCTTTGACCGTTTTGTTGCCATATGTCGTCCACTGCACTATTCCACCATTCTTACCAACAGTATAATTGGCAAGATTGGTTTGGCTTGCTTGCTGCGGAGCATGGCAGTTGTACTACCCACACCTGTGCTACTGGGACGCTACGACTACTGCCATATCAATGCCCTTTCCCATGCCTTCTGCTTGCACCAAGATGTCCTAAAATTAGCCTGTTCCGATGCTAGGGTCAATAGCATTTATGGACTGTGTGTAGTTATTGCCACACTGGGTGTGGATTCAGTCTTCATACTTCTTTCCTATGTCCTGATTCTGCATGCTGTGCTGGGCATTGCATCACGTGAAGAGCGGCTAAAAGCACTGAACACATGTGTGTCTCATATCTGCGTGGTGCTCATCTTCTTTGTGCCAGTCATTGGTGTATCGATGGCACATCGCTTTGGGAAGCATCTGTCACCCACCATTCACATCCTCATGGCTGACATCTACCTGCTGCTGCCCCCAGTGCTCAACCCTGTTGTCTATAGTGTCAGAACAAAACAAATTCGACTGGGGATTCTCCGGAAGTTTGGAATAAGGAGGAGGCCTTAAGTGGTCTCAATCATCAATCATCGAATTTCCTTCTGAAAAACATGGGCTACTCTTTCAGTATAGTAAGAACTAAAATGTCTGGTGTTAAATTACCTGGTGGCAAGTCATAATTCTATTGCTTGGATAGGCAATTTTAGCTTTTTGTCTTTTCTTAAATGAAGGTTATTTTTGTCAAATTGTGATAACAGCTATAGCCCTGTCTGTCTCCCAAGAACATTATGAGACATATTCAAGAGAATGCATGTAAAAGAGATTAAGGTAAAAAAGCACAAATTAAATTTTGATTATCATTAAAGCTAATAATAACACTATTTGTGAAATGTAATGGCATTTACATAGTTTCCCTTTTTACCCATCTCTCTCAATCCGCTTCTCTATTATTTTCATTTTTCATGCTATGACATCAGAACTTTTCCTGCCCAAATTAGTGACATTTATATGGAAAGTTTGAAATTCAAAGTATTAGCAGGATTTGGATGGTTACACTCTGTGTATACTAAATCTTGTCCTCAACACTGAGAGGAGATGTGTCTGTTGTTCTGTTACTGATACACCCTGCTGCCCAGGCAATTTTGATTCCTAACAGGTGTGCACAGTCTTACAGCGCAAAGCAGAGCTGCGTCAGTTAGTGCCCCCAGATCTGTGAGCTCCCTTGCTTCACCTTTAAACATTGGCATAAACATTGTAGTTACATAAGTAAGTCTAGCCATGTGAAATGTGTAGGCTACAGGACAAGTTTACAGCTCTTATTCGTGAGTGAATAGGAATTGTGTACATTCTCCACTCTCATTTATTAATAACATTTTATTTCCGGTCTGTATGCCTGAATGGATTTCACAAGACATTGCATATTTCTCAAATATATATTGGTGTCTTATTGACTTTCTTTTTAGCTGATTGCAAATTTCTTTGCTGAATCCATTAAGGCTATGCTCGCACCTCCCTACAAGACTCTATGTGGGGTTCCTGACAACAATTATGAGTGCTCAGAAAATCGTTCTCAGTACAAGTGTTATATTGTTGCCTATTGATTCATCAAAAGTTCAAAATACTCATACATGAGAGGGGGAAGAGAAATCAAGGGGTCTGAGAAGGATAGACTATTGGGGTTGAATGTAAAGTTTATGTAATTTCCCACTCAAGTTACAATTAAACAAAGAAAGGATGAAGAGGTACAAAAAGTTTCTCGAGAAATATGAAACCTCTATTATGACAGCTGTCACTGTCAATACTGTGGATATGCAAAAAAGAAAATGTTTGTTCTCCACGTTAAAATGAACATTTAGAAGTAGAGATACACATGTCAACAATATTATCATAATCTAATATAAATGAAAGTTTTAATTCATATAGGTAGAGTTACCATATTTATATTAAGGATGGTCAATTTTACTTGAGGATATAGGAATCAAGATGAAAGCCATTGCTAGTTTAGTTGTTTCTTAGGGTCAACTTCAGTCTTACCAGCTGGGCAGAGTGGGAAAGCAAAGTGCGCTGAAATTGGGTTATAGTGGATGATGTAAATCCACTGCATATATTTGATCCAAATCTGTGTTCACATGAGTATTTTGAAATTAGCCAAGATGGAAGTATTTACACAGCAAAAGTTAGCAAACACTTCAAAGTAGAGATTTAACATACGTATTTTATGTAGAGCTGGTTGCTAAACAATGGCTAGCACATTGGAGAAAGTCATTTCATGAAAGAGTAGTACACATATGTAAAGGCAAAACGCTGAAAATGAGATGTTCGTAACATATCCCAGTCTCTAGGGGAAACATAAGTCTTCCCCAACTATGTCATGTTACCAAAAATGATAAAGTACTCTGACAGGTCAGGATGGACCTGCAGATACACCCCCAGCTCTCCCTTTAGAGGGAGAAGTTGCTGCCTTCACCCTCGGGCGTTCTCTTTGTGAAGATTTTTCAGTGGTTGACCCCTTTCTAGGATTAGCTCAGCTGCAGGAATCTATCATGACCAAGATAGGATCATCCCGCTAGTTCTTCTTCTTTGTAATCCCTTTATTAGGGGCTCATACGACTCTTATCACAATCCATACACACACCAATTGTGTAAAGCACGTTTGTACATTCATTGCCCTCAACACTCTCAAAACATTTGCTCTCCACCTAAGTCCCTGGCATCAGGTCCTCATTTTTTCCCCTCCCTCCCTGCTCCGCCCTCTCTCATGAGCCCTTGATAATTTATAAATTATTATTTTGTCCTATCTTGCCCTGTCTGACGTCTCCCTTCACCCACTTTTCTGTTGTCCGTCCCCCAGGGAGGAGGTCACATGTAGATCCTTGTAATCGGTTCCCACTAGTTCTTATCGAATGACTTGTGATGTACATGCATACAAGGATTTTAGTCTAGAGCAGGGCACTTTGAGATCTGTGGGGAAAAGGTCCCAATGGATTCTTTCTCTTAATGAGTAAAAATAACATGACAAGGGTCTAATACTGCAGAGGAACAGAGCATTATTCAGGAAATAGAAAGAGAAACCTTGTTTGCTGAGCTCTAAAGCAATGTAATCACGTCTCTTCTTGCAGCTTTCTAGTTCTAGATTTTTATATAATTTCATATGATAATGGATCACTTGCAAGCAAAGTTTCTGAGAGGCTTTTTTTCCCAGGGAATAAGGAGGATCTTTTCTGGAATGAGCTGATTTATTAAGATGAAGTGCACACACAGTTGTTCTGCAAAACTGAGTCAGCTGTGAAAGTTTCTGGGGTGCTGAGCGGGACTCATTATGAGATGTGGCACTTGCCTGGGCTCCTGTCTGCTGTGAGCAGCCCACCTCTCCCCTCTACACCAGACAATGAGCTGGGATTTTGCTTGGGCACACTGGGTTTCCTACAAAACAAATTAGAGACCTGTTAGACAGTCTGTTCCAAGATGTGGGTTTGTTTACTCTTGGGTGGTCAGCAGCCCTGGCTGCCTGCAATTATCCCTTGTGTGAACTCTGAGATGATGTAGCTGGGCGCTTCTGGCTTACCCCACTCTCAAATTCAGCTGGAGAATTTTCTCTCCAGAACTCCCTGCACTGCTGGTGGAGGCTGTCACCAGGCTTTCTTCACAGCTCAACCCTTTTTGTGTTTAGTTTAGTTCCATTGTAAGTATACTGCTCTCATGCTCTATTTAAAGGTGCTTTCTCAGTGCTCTTAATAAACAGATTGCTCACTGAATTATATCATAGATTATGCTTCATAAAACACTGGTTCTCAAAATACCTATGATATGAATGAAGGGTCAAATAAAACTTTCAACTCCCTTTTGCAGGTGTGCAGGTGAATGGAACGAGATAAGAATACAAGAGAAGCCAAGTTACTATTCTTTTTTTTTTTCACAAGAATAAACCGTGCATTCATTTATTATTTTTGTGTTGAGTCCATCCCCACTTATGGAGACCACATGTGGGCCGAGCAGAATCGCTCCACAGGGTTTCCAAGCTGGCACCTTTCAGAAGTAGATTGTTAGGTGCCTTTAGGTGGGTGTACACGTCCCATCTTCCAGACAGTAGTTGAGTGTTTTCCTGTTTGCACAGGAATGGAAACGCTTTGCTACTCTGGGTCCTTTGTTAAAGCTTTGAACATAAGGACAAAAGGGGTCTTGGAGGTGCTTACTTGGTGAGATAGTTAAGGTTTATTATGTCAACCTGGCCAATGAACGCATGTGGGGTTCATTGAAGGGAGGAGAGATAAATGGCCCGGTGAGCCTTGCCTTTCTTGCTCTCTGATCTCCTATTCTCTGATGGTCAGACCAGTGTGTGGCTGCCTTAGCTAGTTCTTTGCCTTAGCTGGCAAGGCTCACTTCCGGCAAGACATCCCTGAGAAGAAGCCACATGGATCTACCCAGATGCAGCTCTGGGTGCTGGAGCAGCTGCGTGGAGATCCCTGCCAGCGCTGAGATGCTTACATGTTCACAGATTTGACTTTCCTCCTGCAGTCAGCATCATTGCATGTGTTTTGTGAGATTGAGGAGTTCTTTGTAGATTGGTGTCAGACATATGGGCTAATGTCAGACTTATGGGCTTGGACAGCACTAGGTTGAGATGTTTTCTTAATGTACACTTACCCTTTATATAGAACTCTCTCTTATATACATATGAGTTTCTGTGGATTTGTTTCTCTAGTCTACCCAGACTAACACATTGGTTACTGAGAATAACATATTTTATATACACCTGAGACCAAATTCTTGCTTTATATGCTATTTGTGAAGGAGTCTTGGTATCACAATGGGTTAAGTGTTGGTCTACCAGGCAAAATGAGACATTTCTGTTCACAAGATTTATAGTCTTGGAAACGCTATGCAGCAGTTCTGCTTTGTGCTACAGGGTTTCTCTGACTCTGAATTGACTCAGAGCACAACAGTATGTCTCATTATTTTCTATGATTTAGGTTTAAAAAGTTATGTCTCATTGGTATTTTAATGGAAATGACTTGATGTAGAATTGAGGAATGCAATCTGGGATTGATGTATCTGAGAAGTATTTTGCATGGTGCATATAGAGATGTTGACTGATTTTGTTATGAGTTATGGGGGGGAAAGAATTGATCTTGTGAAATATCACCAATAAAAAATAGAAGAATTTGCTACTAATGAAAGGTGAAGAGTAGTGGAGAAGGAGCCCAAGCAAAGCTGTAAATTTTATCTTAAACAAAACATGATTTGTCAATATCCTCTCCCTCTCATATCTAGTACCAGTGTAGTTTGGGAATGAATAGATACAATTTCCTTTAGAATTGCACTCTTAAAAACGTATTCCTTTTCCAGTGGGAATATGAGAGTGTGACTCTTCTTTTCTGTTTCACCTTTGTCTTGTTAAAAATGTAACCTAAACACACACCTAGACACACGTTGCTGTTGAATTAACTCTGACTCAGAGTGATCTTGGAGAACAGAAATAGAACTCTGCAATATGATTTCTAAGGCAGCGATCTTCAGTGAAGCAGACTGCTGTATATTTCTCCTGCTGAGTGGCTGTGGTGTTTGAACCA